CTGAAGGTTCTGATGATGGGGGCGACCGTGAAGCGACTCAAATTTGGCTGTACTCGTTGCCCAGCCTCCCTCATAGTCATACCATGGACAAGGACATGGTCAACTAAAGGGGCTCGAATTTCATCTGAGATTGCTTGTCTCCTTGCCCTTCTTCTCCCTCCTCCTCCACCACATCCTCCTCCTCCTTCACCACGTCCTCCTCCTCTCCCTCCTCCTTCACCACGTCCTCTTCCTCTCCCTCCTCCTTCACCACGTCCTCTTCCTCTCCCTCCTCCTTCACCACATCCTCTTCCTCCTCCTCCTTTTCTTCCTCTTCCTCCTCCTCTTCTTTTTCTTCCTCCTCCTCTTCTTTTTCTTCCTCCTCCTCCTCCTCCTCTTCAACCTATTCCTTAATTTCTCTGTGGATCCATTGTTCCAAAGCTCAGTGAACTGATTCGGCCCTTTTATCTATTTATTGAAGGATCTGATTGATGTGTGTTCAATTTTCCAGTGTTTCCACCTCGACAATTGTTTGCTAATTGAGCTCAAGCTGTGCTGACTTGAGTGAACAGTATTGAATGCTAGTGCTTTCTAAATGACCACATGGTGTAAGCACTGAGAAATTTAGAGATATGTGTGTAGAGTTTTGCAGTAACAGTTCACCAAATCTGACTCATGTGTTAAAGCAGGGGAATAGTGTTTATAGTTCAGCAAAATGGGTGTGCTTTTTGAAAAATGCCATTATGGTTTTGAAATTTTAGTTCAAAAGCCTGGTTATAGTGATTTAGCAATTGAGAAAAACTGTAATGTAATATCTTTATTCATGTTGGTTTCATGCAAAGAAAAAAAATTTAACTTTTATACCATTTTCCACAAAAGTTCTGAATTAATTTGATTTTGAATTGACTAACTTTAAAAGTGTCAAATGGTGTAACAATCCAGAAGAAAGTACAGCATACATACTTTCCTTACACTCTGAATCCATGTTGCTGTACGTATTATAATAGTTATTCTCAATAATCTTTAAGCATTTATTTGTTTATTGTTTTAGTATATTACTTTTTTCTAGGGTATACAGCTGTTAATTTCTGATATTCACATCTACAGTAAATTAATAATACCACAATGTCAGAAAATAAGTAAGTAAATAAATAAATAAATACACATAATAATTTATTTCAATTTTCACATTTTTAAAATAACATAAACATGTTTAAGGTAATATAATGTAGTATGTCCACTGTAAGGGAAACAGGTCAATTTAGCTCAAAGGGAATCATTTAAGATTTTTGACATTGCTGATCGAAAAATGTTAAAATGACTTTGATTCAGAAATGTTAAACATTCATCAAGAGGTGTTTTCAAGGCATTGTATATGCATGAAATGTTTAATGTTTTATGAATGCTTAATGATTTAATTAAAAAAATAATGTTTTATAATTTAATAGGTAAAAAAGGGTCACACACACACACACACACACACACACTTATTGTCTTATGTAAAATGTGGTGAGTACCAAATGACTGAGTAACAAGTATTTTCAGCATATTCTCTTGGTTGAGTTTATTTTAATGTAATGTTTTAATGTAATTAAATCATGGTCAAGAGAAATGGAAAAATATTTAAGAAACAACTGCATAATGCTGTGCCTAATAAACAAATGAGAACTGACAACTCTCAAATTACCTATATATTTCCCAACGACCATTTTTTTTTTGCTCCTTGTGGTGGTGGAATTGATGTATGATGAGAGAGACAAACTAATAAATATTTATATTTCTATATAATTCTTTACTGAAATCAAGTTATGTCATCCATATGGATTTTATGCCTGATCCATTTTACTATCTGACTGATGTTCATCCATATAACATCTTTCATTGTCACGAGAGATGCAGAAAACCCTCTCACACGTGTAACTGTGTCATCAGCTGTATCTAATGGGTTTTGGCATTTTTCCACAGGCAAAAAGGCATCTCCATAAAGCAGGATTAAAGGAGGAGGCTTCTGCAGGCATTTTCAGCATTTGTGTCAGTGGAGCTACAGCACGCTCTACATCTAATGTATGAATATAACATCCCAGACATCTTTTTCCTTTTTTTCTCATTTGCTTTTGATCTGCTTTGATCTTTTAATCCCAAGGATCCAATCAACAAAACAAATCTCCCATCCACTAGTTATCACCACCCTTTTATTGTAGATGGATAATTCTCATATGAAAGCAAAACTGTATTTTGCTAATGAATGAAAATGAAGTCTTAAAATATACAGATTAAAGATATCACATAGCACATGTAGTATTTGTTAGATGTAAAACAGTTGGAGTCTTGTGTTTTTTATGGCTTAACTTGATTAATTAATGCATGCTATGTTTGGACCATGTTGGAATTAATAATAACTTGCGATCTAACACAATCTGTCATATTTCATATTATACATTTTGTTTACAGAAAATAAGACTTTTTTTTATAGCCATTAAGAATGTATCACTGTCACATAAGACTGATATTCCCCCAAATTCCATGCTTGTAAAGCATGCGGAAAATAAATAAATAAATAAATACTTTACAATAAAACGTTGGCACATTTAACTTTTTTCTTAGTATATTACTTTTTTCCCTATTATATACAGCTATTGAAAATGAATACGAAAATGAAATGTATTTCCAAAACCTCTTAATACAGCAATATCATAATATTTATTTAGGCTATTTTAAATAAATAAATGATTGTACTTTTTTGTTATTAAATTTGCTTTGTGAACTTATCACACATTTACATGAAAATAAATTTAAAAAATCACAATGACTGACAATTAAATACACAGAAACAAAAGAATATATATATATGAAGAGTTCAGATGCAAAAGCCTCTAAGTACGTCTGATGTTTTTCTTTAAAATTAGCATTTCTTTCTGACTACTCCTGTACTCGTTATACCCCGATACCTCGATATTTGACACACTTAAAAGATTCAGATCATCAAACAAATTTTAATATTACACAAAGATAACCTGAGTAAATACAAAATGCAGTTTTGAAATAATTATTTCATTTATTAAGGGAAAAAAGCTGTCCAAACTTGCCTGGCACTACGTGAAAAAGTAATTGCCCCCTAAATCTTATAACTGGTAGGGCCACCCTTTGCAGCAACAACTGCAATCAAGCATTTGCGATAACTGGTAATCAGTCTTTAACATCGCTGTGGAGAAATGTTGGCCCACTCTTCTTTGCAGAATTGTTTTAATTCAGCCACATTGGAGGGTTTTCGAGCATGAATGGACTGTTTAAGTTAATCTCAATCGGATTTAAGTCACACATCAATCAGACATTCTCCTTCAGGATTTTCTGATAGAGTGCAGAATTCATGGTTCCATCAATTATGGCAAGTCATCCAGGTCTCGAAGCTGCAAAACAGCCCCAGACCATCACACTACCACCACCATGTTTGACTCTTGGTATGATGTTCTTTTTATGAAATGCTGTGGTGGTTTTACACCAGATGTAACGGGACACACACCTTCCAAAAAGTTAAACGTTTGTCTCATCAGTCCACAGAATATTTGCCCAAAAGTCTTGGGGATATTCAAGATATGTTTCGGCAAATGAGAGAAGAGCCTTTGTGCTCTTTTTGGTCAGCAGTGGCTTTTGCCTTGGAACTCTCCCATGGATGCTGTTTTTGCCCAATCTCTTTCTTATTGTTGAATCATGAACACTGACCTTAATTGAGGCAAGTGAGGCCTGCAGTTCTTTAGATGTTGTTCTGGGTTCTTTTATGACCTCATGGATGAGTCGTCGTTGCGCTCTTGGAGTAATTTTGGTCGGCCGGCCACTCCTTGGAAGGTTCACAACTGTTAAAAGTTTTCTCCATTTGTGGATAATGGCTCTGACTGTGGTTCACTGGAGTCCCAAAGCTTTAGAAATGGCGTTATAACCCTTTCCAGACTGATACATGTCAACTATTTTGTTTCTCATCTGTTCTTGAATTTCTTTAGACCGTGGCATAACGTGTTGCTCTTTAAGCATGCTTCACTTTGTCAGACAGGTTCTATTTAAGTGATTTCTTGATTCAACAGGCCTGGCAGCAATAAATGAAAACATCACTTAAAAACGGCATTTTGTATTTACTTGCATTATCTTTGTGTAATATAAACATTTGTTTGATGATCTGAATCTTTTAAGTGTGTCAAATATGCAAAAAAGCAAACAAACAGGAAGGGGGCAAAACACCTTTTCACGGCACTGTGTGTATATATATATATATATATATATAGTAATTCATATGTAATACTAAACTATAATATTTTGTTAATACTATATAATAATAAAATAATATTTACTATCTATAATAATCTGGTTAATCACAGTTCTTTCATGATTTAACAGGAGGGGGCAATTAATTTTTCACGTAGGGCCAGGTAGGTTTGGACAGCTTTTTTCCCTCAATAAATGAAAACATCACTTAAAAACGGCATTTTGTATTTACTTGCATTATCTTTGTGTAATATAAACATTTGTTTGATGATCTGAATCTTTTAAGTGTGTCAAATATGCAAAAAAGCAAACAAACAGGAAGGGGGCAAAACACCTTTTCACGGCACTGTGTGTATATATATATATATATATATATATATATATATATATATGTATATATATATTTTTTAATTATTATTTATATATATATTTTATATATTTTAGGATTTTAGAAAGAGGATTGATCATGATAATAATCATCAGTAGGAAATTTAAGGAATTTTTATTATTTATTTATTTTTGTCTTAGTATATTAGGTTATATAGGCCTACAGCTGTTAATTTTTGATATCCACATCTAAAGGAAATTTCCTTTGCCTGTATGAAAGTGAAATAACATATTCCCAAAAACCCTAAATAAATAAATAAATAAATAAATATATTTCACTCATTCGTTTTTATTCTATTTTAAGCAAGTGAGTAGTTGTCTGCATCCACCCCTCTGATTGGCCTCTCATGGTGCATTCCAGGAAGCTGCTCTCTTCGGTGAATTAAATCATCTGACGCGCGCGCTATCTCCCTATTCTCTCATGGAATAATCCGCTCGAGCCGGTTGCCCGAGCAGCAGCAGCAGCAGCAGCATCGGTGGCACTGAAGCAGGTTGTTTGAGGACTGAATGTCGTACTGACTTCTGAGGGGACTCGCAGCCGAGACGGAGGACGAGGACAGAGAGGCTGTTAGGATGGCTTCAAACTTCAACGATATAGTGAAGCAGGGCTACGTGAGGATTCGGAGTAAGAAACTGGGGGTGAGTACAGTCAATATCTGCTGGACGTTACTGTGTGCTCAGTCATTTTGAGGTATCTGTATTTAAAAGGGCTTTAGGGAGCGCGTGCTGATCAAGAACATGCTATCAACTTGCACAAACAGCTCCAGCTACTTTTGATTTTATTCTTAATGGCCAGTTATTTATTTATTGATTGATTTATTTGAGCATATATGTACTATTCAGTATATATATCTTAAATCCTGCTCTGATGTAATCCATATGAACAAGTAGATCATTATTAAACAGTGATAATAATCGCTTTGGCTTATTGCTTGTGCTTTGAGCAAATGTGGGTTGTTTAAAATTAGTTTTTAACATAAACAGAGTAATTGCTTTAGGCAATATTATTTATTTATTTAACTATGTTTTTATTATCAAAGTTGTAATGGACTTTTATGTCTGTTGTGTAGATTAAGTTTATTACATTTTAAAAAGTTAATCAAGAATCTAATGTCTTCAGTAGTTTTTTTGCCTGGATGAGAAGACACATTAGTCAAGTCTACAGATGCAGCATCATCTGTTTATTGTCCTCCTGATTCTGCAGCTGTGAACAGAGTGAGGACTGTAGGTCATCAGGTCTGTGTGATACAGCAGGTGAATTCATCCAACCAGGAAAGATTAATAGATTCATACATAGTCCTATGATATATGTAAAATATGCTGATTATAGTTTTATAGGAGAGTAGGAGGTTAGATGAGGGTTTTTACAGGGTATTTGAAGTTTATTGGCAATTTTGTTTATGAAATTTGTTTTAGCGAAATGCCCCTTACTGTTCCAATGCAGTGTTAATTTCAACTTTACACATTATACACAATATGCAAAACAAATAAATAGTTATATATATATATATATATAAGAAATATATTTTTTATCATTTCAATTGACTTTGAATAAAAATGAACGAAAAAAATGAATAAAATCTAGAAATTCCTCATTTGATTTATTTTATAAATATATAAAATAAATAAACAAATAAAAATGAGGAAATATTTACATTTCTTCATTTGTATTTTTCTTTTATTTATTTTACCTAAAACAATGGTGCAGTATTTATAACAGTATTTATTCTATCTATATTTATGTAATTTACAAATGAACTAATAATAAACAGACTATTTGTCAATACTTTCAGAATTGCCTTTTTTTGCAGTAATACATAAATATATCAGACATTTTGGTCAACACTTGATGTGTTATATTTGTCTTTAATTCAAGACTTTTTTTTTTTAGCTATAAAATAGAAATATAACGAAAAGTTCTAATCAATACTCAATGTCTTAGGTATGTTTGACCACAATGGTTTGTTTTCGCCCCTAGACACTGGATTTGAGATATGAGAAAGTCTATTTCCACTGATATTGCTTCCATAGTGTGAGCTCACTCTAAATGCATTATTTGAAGTGCAGCTTCATATTGCGTGCTGATTTGTATTGGTTAGATACACTTACCAGCTGTATTTCAGATATACATCAGCCTGTAAATATACAGAAGTGATCACATCTCATTGAAACACAGATAAAGAAAACTGCACAGTGATGCCACATTTGTTCTTGAATGCAGAGCATAGAATTGCTATCTTATAGTACTGTGAAGAAACTATTACCTATTGCTAACTATTACCACTATTATTATTTTTCCAATACGTGTGCTATCATGGTCGCATTTGCCATTAATTGATCAGAATGAATGTTAAAAAAAGAAAAACGTGTAAAAGCATGTTAGTTAAGTTGCTTTGAAATCCGTGTAAAACCCTGTAATGTGAATTTACAGTTCAAATGCACCTGACATTAACTGACCTTCTCACATAAACGTAATGCCCTTTGAACCCACGGACTTCTGCACCTTTGGCATTTTCCCATTCGACACATATCTGTGTATAACTACAACCGGACCTTTAGAAATTACATAAATATTACTATAAATGTTAATGATAACCATCCAATCGAAACACAGAAATTTGATGTTTAAAACTTTTTTACTGCTATTTAAAACGCCTCTATTACTGGTCTTTATCAGGCATTTGTATCATTTTGAGTGTAATCTGTTCATCTGCTGAACTATGCTGATGAAACAGGCAGCTGCTCCTTTGAAGACTGCTTTAGAGGGAAGGACTACTTGTTTCATCAGTGCTGGCGCAGTCTTTTTTTAGGGCAAGTATCATGTTTTGAACAGCAGGATCAGCTTAGGGGTTCCCTCTGATGTCTCTCTCTGTTCCTCTCGTTTTCCCTCTCCTCTCTTTCTCAATCTTTTAAGACCTAGACATGTAATTCAAACGAGTAACTAAATGGGGAAAAATTACTAATACAAATTAAGTCATTTTTGGGCAGTTTCCACAAAAAGGGTAGGAAATATGGTTGTAAGTGTTAAAAAAATTTTTTTTTTAATCGTTCAGTAAATGGTCAGTGAAAGCAGATGCTTAACCTCGAGAAAATGTTGATCGCACAGCCACAGGAGGTTAATATTATATGAGCTGTATTATTTTCTATTTATTCTATTCATCTAAATTAAGCTGTCACTCAGTAGAGATGATCTGGTTTGGGATCAAGTCGTCACTTTGGAATTATAAGGTTCTATCTTCATTCTGAGCAGTTTCGAGATATTGAGCTTCAAAGTTTTTGCATTCCATTTGGTGATATTAAGAAGTCTCTTTCATACATCAGTCCCAAAATGCAAACATCAAAAAACATCACATCATTTAAGTTGTCACAGAATAAGAATATGTGAATAACTCAATTTTGATTAAAAAAGGCAGATATAGCCTTGTAATTCCAATCATTTTTTCATGTAATAACATTGGTAACAGGGATGAATGCTTGAGCCTGACAAATGCAGATGCTTTTACTACTTGACTGTGACCATTTTAAAAAGTTTCAAAAGTTTGTGGTTGGTAAGATGTTTTAATGTGTTTGGAAGAAGTCTCTTATGCTCACCAAGGTTGCATTTATTTGATCATGGAAAAAATAAGTAAAACAGTAATATTGTGAAATAATAATGTTACCATTCAAAATCAGTTTGAATGTATTTTAAAATGATACAAAGCTGAATTTTCAGCATCATTACTCTAGTCTTTAGTGTCACATGTATTATGCTGATTTGGTGCTGAAGAAACATTTCTTATTATTATCATCAATGTTGAAAACAGTTACGCTGCTTTATATTTTTATGGAAATTGTGATACTTTATTCAGGATTTTTTGATGAAGAGAAAGTTCAAAAGAACAGCATTTATTTGAAATCGAAACATTATAAATGTCGTTGCTGTCACTTTTGACCAATTTAATGTATCATTGCTGAACAAAAGCATTAATTTCTTTCAAAACAAAAAAATCTTACTGTACCTTTTAGGTGGGACTGGCCAAAAACATTATTTTAAATGGGCAATACAAATGTTTAATGTGTTTAAAACTAGTTACTTTTCATGTTAAGTTAATTTTATCATAGATGTCATTTCATCACATATGATTCGTGCTTATAATGGGTTACAAATGATCAAACTGTACCATAATTAGGGAATGTGCCTTTTACGCCAACTGTTTGTATGATGTTAGTTTAATTTCTGTCTGAGTAGTAGACAGTGGATGGCATTACTTTACATGTCATCAGGGCCTTTTCCATGTAAACACTGTCCTTACTGAAATGCCCTTTACCCTTGGATAATTTCCCATGTCATCTGTTTATGTCGTCTTTGTTGTCCCAGACAATCACTGTTTAGGACACTTACAAACAGCTTTATAATGCATTGTGAATCCATAGAGAATCAACCAGGCTTACCCTGGAGCGGTCGACTTAAAGCGGCCTTTCCTCTCAACACTTTCAGCGGAACTGTAATCTTATTTAAGCTGTTGTTGCAAGCCAGTACTTGACCCATATATGAGAACTGTGTTTTGTCATCTGTCTCTATGTACAGGCAGTTTAGTAATGCCAGCGATTAATGTTTGACAGAGATCATCCTACATGAGGTTTTGGACAATGAAAGTGTCTAGCAGTAAAGCCCATCTGATATAGGTATACATTGTCTCTCACTCCATGTTAAAACATGTCATGTCAAACAGCTGGCAACTTGCAATTTGATATACACTCTAGTTGTAGGTAAATAAGAAAATCCTATTTCAGTCTTTCTACTTCAAAATTGCATGTTTAATTCAGTGTGTTACTTGCAATTTCTTTGTAATTATTTTTGAAATTATTTCCGAGTAAAAATAGTTTTTCACTGTAGATATATTTTTTTAAATTTTAGCTAAAAGGGGAATAAAAAAATACATTTAGATAATGTATTTAAAAAAAATTCAAAAATGCTGTAAATGTCACATCAGTGTCACAAATTTATTACTAATACAGAATATAATTTTTTTAATTGTTTAAAATGTTTTAATATGTTCAAAACCCTAAAATTGTGTTTATTTTCAGGTAAATTTACTAGCAATCTTTTATTTTTAAAAAGTAAATTATTAAAAAATTCTTTTTAAAATAAAAAAACGCTGCCAATGTCACATGATTGTCACAAATTTACTAAGAAATAATGCAAAATATTAACTATTTCTTTATTTGTTTAAGTAAAATTTGCTTCAAAGTAAATCTTACACTATTTTTTCAGTGTAGGGAAAAATCTTTGTTTAAAATAAAAATAATTAATAATTTTTTTAATGATTAAAAAAATGTTAAAAAAAAAATCTAAACTGCTGTAAATGTCACATCAATGTCACTAATTTACTTATTTGATTAGTAACCTAGAAATAATAAACAAAAAACGTCTTAATTGTTTAAAATGTTCAAAATCATAAAATAGTGTTTATTTCCAGGTTTAAATGAGATTTTGGAATCAGGTTTTCTCAGACTTTTGGACCCCACTGAAAGTGTCCAAATTCAATATAGAAAACTGTATTTTCTCTATATAATATGCTTAGAAAGAATGTGATGCATACTATTCTTTGAACATTCAAACCTACATTTTGCGTTTATTTATATATATATATATATAT